GTCACGATCCCAGGGTCCTGGGATCAAGCTCCACATCGGTCTCTCTGCTCAGCGGGGAGCCTGCTTCCTCCTCTCTGCCTGCCTCTCTGCCTACTTGTGATCTCTATCTGTCAAATAAATAAATAAAATCCTTAAAAAAAAAAAAAAAAAAAAAAAGAGTCAGTCTTGCCAGAAAGCAAGCAAGCAAGCAGGGCTTTAGGCTGTGGGTGCTTGCAGCTGTAGTGAAATTCTTTAAAGCAGCTAAAATGACAACCTACAATGTTTCCACTTCCTAGAAGAGCTTCAAAGACTACTAAAGATATTGCTACAATTTAGAAAAAAAAAGACTGAATACAACATAGCTCCATCTTTGCTTAAAATTCTAAATGCTTTAGAATAGGAGCCTTGCTTTTACCAAGAATACAAATTGTAGGTTAAACATTCCCTCAGTCAACAAATATTGTTAAATACCTACTACTCCCAAGATGGCTGGGAGGGTTAAATTTAAAAAGGAATGATGCCTCTTAACCAATCACCTCACAGCTTACATTTGCCCCTCCCCCCCTTTTTAAGATTTTATTTATTTGGCAGAGAGAGAGAGAGAGAGAGCGAGAGCGAGAGAGGGAACACAAGCAGGGGGAGAGGGAGAAGCATGCTTCCCACCAAGCAGGGAGCCAACACAGGGCTCAATCCCAGGACCCTGGGATCATGACCCGAGCCTAAGGCAGACGCTTAAGGACTGAGCCAACCAGGCACTGCTCTTCTAAGAATTTTCTGTGCATGAAAATCATTCGTTTAAGTCTAAAATGCTTTAGAATGTATAGGTCTAAGTCAGACCCTTTTAAATGGTCATAATTTCAAAAAAAGAAAACAGGTTATACCAAGTGACTTTTCTAAAGAAGGTCAAGATTAATCCTCACTCACCAAGATGCCCTACCACTCCTGACGGAAAACAGGACAAAACTCGCAGGGCTAACAATGCCCAACAGAAGGCTCAGAGTAAGTACCACATTGGACTGAGGACTTAACAAGCATTTACTAATGAACTATAGCAGAATAATTACCTGGAGTTGGCCAGGTACCAAAGGGAAACGTCTTAACTCACTAAGAAGTCATTATCATTCAGGAAACACAGCTAGGAAGTATGTTACACCTGACCCAGACTATGGCAAGACTGGAAGTCAGTAAAAGATTAAAACAAAAGATCGTGTTCCAGAAAGTAAGTAAAAATGTGTATGTGCATTCTAAAAACTATGGAAATATTTTTTCTTTGAAACCTCTCTATTTTACAACTGCTTACCTAGCATTTCCTGTATTCTACACATTATGACATGCCATACCTGACCATCACTTCCACCCTGCTTGTCCCCCAACCACTAAAAACATTTTTAATTTAATAATAATGGTAGAAAAAAGGCACTGGGCTCACCAAGTCATGTCTGAGTACAAAATCTGTAAAGAACCACATAGCACAAGACAGTAATTTTAGCAAAATGAAAATGAATAAAGTAGGTGTTCTGGTAAGGTCAGGCGTGGTTTTCAAACACTAAAAATATAATACCTAAACCAATTTATGAGTAACAAAAAGCACTCTGAAATTGTTTCAACTAATGAGCTTTCTGAAAAGTTATTCCAAACCTAAACACTGAAAACGTAATTTCAACCCATCACATCTCAACTCACCACAATTTCACAGTTAATCACCCATACAGTCCTGTCTACCCTAAACAATATTCAGCAAAGCTGAGGTCACAGGCAAGTTTCCAACAGCTGTAAAATGCTAAAACCTTGACAGTACAAATAATGCTGTACAAAGATAGTGATGCTGCTAATTCTGAACTCAGTAAAATGTGTTCAAAATCCAGATCTACAACTTACCAGCTGCAACTCTGAGCAAGTTAATCACCAGCCTTTAGTTTACTACTATGATCACAATAATCTTACTACCTATTGGACAGTTAGCATACAAATAAGCACTCTATTAATGCTGACAGTTGTTGAACTTCTGGCTGGTGGGTAAGCACTACCTACTAAATATAACTTTTTATTTAATAGCTAATGAATTCAAGGAACAACAGTGGTTTAGGGGTACTAATATATTCAAACACAAAAGCAGGGGCTTTCCCAAAGTTTGGAGGTCAAAAGTGCATTAGTCAAGGGCAGCTGGTACCCTCTCTTTTCCTATTCCTGCCAATTGATATTAATTGCCTTGGAACTCTTGAAAGCTTCTAATAGTCTTCCCATTTAACTTTAACAAAAGCTACATAATTCTGGCTTCAGTTTTGACAATACAACCTGTCACTTCTAGTTAACATATAATAACGTTTAGCAACATGAAATGAACAAGGTTTTTCTTACTGGGTAGTTCAAAACACTTATTTCTAAAAGACTTATGGGATGCCAAAGTATTTTCTTTGGTCCTCAAGAGCCAATTTTAGAAATCCAATTATTCTCAAAAATACCGAATCTTGAGGGCGCCAGGATGGCTCAGTCAGCTAAGCATCAGACTCTTGATTTCAGCTCAGGTCATGATCTCGAGATCCTGGAACTGAACCCCAAGTCAGGCTCCATATGCAGAGCCTACTTGGGTATCTTTTTTCTCCCTCTCCCTCTGCTTCTCCCCCCACCCACATCCCCCTTCCTCCGAGCACCTGAGTGCTTTCTCCCTTTCTAATAGGTAAATAAATCTTTAAAAGGGGCACCTGGGTGGTTCAGTGGGTTAGGGCTCTGCCTTTGGCTCAGGTCATGATCTCAGGGTCCTGGGATTGAGCCCTGCAAGGGGCTCCCTGCTCAGCGGGGAGCCTGTTTCCCCCTCTCTCTCTGCCTACTGCTCTGCCTACTTGTGATCTCTGTCAAATAAGTAAATAAAAAGTCTTTAAAAAAAAAAAAGTACTTAATCTTGTGGGTAGGGGACGGGCTAGATGGGTATTAAAGGGGGCACTTGTTATGATGAACACTGGGTGTTTGCTATACGTAAATGATGAATCACTGAATTCTACTCCTGAAACCAATACTGTCCTGCATGTTAGCTAACTAGAATTTAAATTTAAAAAAAGGGAAAGTGCCGAATCTTTTTAGTTTCAAGGTGGGGGTAGGGCACACCTGGCTACTCAGTAGGAGGAGCACGCCACTCCATCTCAGGGTCGATCTCGGGGTGGTTGAGTTCGAGTTCCATGATGGGTAAAAAGATTATTTAAATAAATAAATAAAACAAAAAAAGGTGGGGGAGCCTGAGTGGCTCAGTTGGTTAAGCGACTGCCTTCCACTCAGGTCATGATCATGGAGTCCCGCATTGGGCTCCCTGCTCAGCAGGGAGTCTGCTTCTCGCTCTGAACCTCCCCCTCCCATGTTCTCATTCTCTTTCAAATAAATAAATAAAATCTTAAATTAAAAGAAAAAAAGTCTGCAGGCAGCTCCTGCTGCAGAGTCATAATAAGCCAGAAATTGTGAACCCTGGCTAGATTCAGTTCCTCCCTTCAATCATCCTTATTTCATCCCTGCCCTCTGAAAATATATACTGGAGGGTATGGTAACAAACACCACGGGGAAACCTATCTCTGCAACTCACCACCAGTGTGACCTTGGGCAAGTCAGTGCCTTCAGCTCAAAGTAAGGTGTTTTCTAGCAATGGGGAAGAGGGTGAGCTTGGGACACTGGGGTTCAGATCCCAGCTCCATCAAATGCTAGCTGAGTGACCTTAGGAAAATTAGACAACATCAACAATGACTCATTTTCCTCATCTGTGGGGAGAAAAAAGCGGGGGACGGATTTGCAGGACTGGAAAAAACTACCCACCTCAGGAGAATGTGTGAATATTAAATGAGATAAGCCATGTTAAGGGCCAATTAACAGAGAATGACAGAATGATCGGTCTACACACATTCGCTATTATTTCATACCTCAAAGGGTTGCTGCTAAAATCAAATGAGATGTGAGTAAAGCATCATACAAATTTTAAAAGCAGGACCAACTGTGCCAGAAATAAAGTCACCCCCTCCTCCAAAAAAGTTGAATGATCTCAGCCATGTGGAGAGAAACCTCCATTTAGTAACATTTACACTATAAGCTCGAGGTCTAGTTTGGCAAAAACCACTGACCTTGAAGCCTTCCTCACTGTTCACTAAGATAAACCAAGCATCTATGAGGAGAGAGAGGGAAAGGGCCACTGCTCAATTACAGATCATCTCGGTTACCGAAAAGGTGTTTCTCCCTGACTCAAATCTGTTGATTTTTCACAGCCGGGTAGGAGGGTGACATCAAGGTCTTAAAGTCTGAGGGCGTTAAGGAGGGGGATCCATTTAGCAAGCACAAGGGAAGCTGCAAAAAGGAAAAGCCCTGCAGCAGCCCTGCAGGCCCCTCTGACAAGAGCTAACACTGTCTCCTCACCGCTATTTTGGGCCCACGACCCCCCCCACCCCGCCTCCCACGTGCTCCCAGAGCAGCTGTTTCTCCACCAAAGAGCTCTAAATTGGGAGCCTCCAATACGGCCTGCTCTTGACTCGATCTCGGTGACCTTGCATCAGCCCCTTCCCCTTTGGACCTGTTTCTCCATGTGCACCGAGCACAGCTAGTTAGACAACCCCCTAGACCGGGTTCTCGGAAGTAAAAAGTCTTCAGTGAGGAATTTTCCCTCAAATAAGAGTGTCGCACCCTCACGCCGGAGCCAGCTTTCACCTGGCTTGGGATCCATATGAGATTCTGAGTCTTCTTTGGTGTGGCATTAACAACGCAGCCTGCGGGCAGCGCACGTCCCAGCGAGAGTGTGTCTCACAGGGCCTGCACGTCGGGCCAGCTCTGCCGACCTGACGCTGCCTGGACTGCGCCGCTGCCACCGCAGGGCGCAGGAAGGCCCGGCCGGCGCCTACGCGAGGCGAGTGGCTGAGGCCTAGAGGCCCGCGCGGTCAGCCCCCCGCATCCGCCAGCTCCGCGCCCGCCCCCTCAGCGCCCCTCCCGGACCTTCGCCCTGGCCTCAACAGCCCTCGACGCGTCCGGCCGACAACAGGCTGGCCCCAGGCACTTACCGTAAATGGGCCGGAGGCGCCTGTCGTTAGGGTCCTGCACATGGCCCCGCGTCGCCATGATGACAAGCGCAGAACCGCAGTGCGCACGCGCGGGGCAGGCCCTCGGGAAGGGGCTGTTAAAGGGCCAGCGCCGATCTCGCCCTTCTATCGCGATAGTCGCAGAGTTGCAACTGACCGCCCCTGAGCGGAAGGGGAAGCCCTCGAGCCCGTTGGACCTCTACCGGTATGGCGATGGGTTCTTCGTTAGGAATCTTTCCTCCTTTTGCCCGATGGAATCAACCAGGTTGGAAGAGACGGCTGTTGGTATTGAAATCCCTTCCGAGTCACGTACTGGGCAGTGAGGAAAGGAGGGGAGAAACTCCTGGTCAAAGTTGAGCTCAGCTGCTCCCGCTTGTCGTATTTATCCTCTGTGTCCGAAGGAGGACCAGTTAGACTTGTCTGTGACCAACTGTTGAGGAACCAGGAACTCCTCTGGGAGACTGACCCAAGGAACTGTGGGGGAAAGGGGTCTGATCAGGGGTGCCTGACTGGCTCAATCTGTAGAGCATGACACTCTTGATCTTGGGGTTGATGAGTTCAAGCCCCAGGGAGGGCAGAGAGCTGCCTTAAAAAGGGGGAGGGAGAGGAGGAGATGCTGATCTACATTAAAAATCTGCCTGAAAAGTTCAAGATCTCTTCAGCCCTCTCCTGGGTTCAACCAGCTAAGAAGCATCCTAGATTCATAGTAATCCAGTCAGTTTGTCAATTATACCTCAGTAAAACTGGAGGGCAAAAGTAATTAAATTCATACAACGCATAGTTATTGAATGCCTATTATGTGCCAGGCTACATCAATAAATAAAATTTTCATGGAGATTTACTTGTAGTGGAAGAGACAGACAAAACAGCATGTTAGATGATGGTAATTGATTCTGAGAAAAGTAGAACAGGGACTGGGGAGTGGAGGAGGAAGGCAATTTTATATGTATAATGTGGTCAGGGAAATCCTAGCTGAATAAGTGTTAATTATCAAAGACTTGGAGAGGGAGGGAGCCACTTAGGTGTGCCAGTCTCAGTAGAGTCATAACCTAAGTTAAGGCCACACTAGTCACTAGATTCAAACTCAGGTCTTTCTGAGTAGAGAACCAGAGTAATCACCTGCATTGTAGTGTCCCCTGTGTCAGCCTTGACCAGCTGGGGTTGACCCGTTCTACTGAAGTTCCTTCCCTCTTCCTTGCTTGGCTTTTTTAGTGTCCAAGAAAATGATTCTCCAACTTCAGTGCACATCAGAATCCCTTGGGAAACTTGATAAACATGAGTTTCCTGGATTCTACTCCAAGAGATGCTAATTCAATCTGAAGACCACTCTTTGGAAAATACTGATTTATTCCACATCGGGCTCCTTGCTTAGCAGGGAGCCTACTCCTCCCTCTGCCTGCCACTCTCCCTGCTTGTGCATGCTCTCTCTCTCCAACAAATAAATAAAATCTTAAAAAAACAAAAAGAAGGAAAAAATACTAATTAAAGGATCTAGATCAAAAGTTTTCATTTACTTTTTTTTTAAGATTTTATTTTTAAGTGATCTCTACACCCAATATGGGGTTTGCACTTATAACTCTGAGATCAAGAGTCACACGCTCAAAAAAAAAAAAAAAAGAAAGAAAGAAAATGGGACACGTGGGTGGTTCAGTCCGTTAGGTGGCTTCCTTCACATCAGGTCATGATCCCAAGGTCCTGGGATGTAGCCCTGCATCAGGCTCCCTGCTCCATGGGGAGTCTGCTTCTCCCTTTCCCTCTCCCTCCCGCTCCCCCTGCGTGCTCTCTGTCTTTCTCCCTGCATCAAATGGATGATAAAATCTTTAAAAAAAAAAAAAAGCATGCTCTACCCACTGACTCAGCCAGGCACCCATCAAAAGTCTTTAGAATCTACCATAAAAGCAAGTTAACAATTGCTATTAAAATTTAAATATGCATGCCTAGAAAAAAACTAGTGATGATAATAACAATAATCATAGAGTGCATTAATGAGCACTGTGCCAGAGACTGTGCCAAGCTCTTTCACATACACCTTCTCACTTCACTTTTTCAAACTGGTGGAATAGGTACCTTTTCAATCTTAATCTTAAAATGAGAATTTTGAAACATAGAGATATTAGGTAAGTTGCCCAAGATCACACAGTCCGTGATGAAATTTGTGGTCGGCTCATTCCCAAATCCACACCCTGGAATTACTGGCCAGTTTCCAAAGAGCTAAGTATAGAAAAGGAAAAATAACAGTTGAGAAACCTAGTAAGAACCACCCTAGCTAAGTGATCAAAGTTAACATTACCAGTGGTAATTCATGTTCATACCATGTACCCCAATGTGAGATGATGAGGAAGGAACTTTATTTCTGTAATATTTTTCCAGAAACCCATAATCCCAGAGTAATCAGGAGGAAAACATTAAAAAAAATCCAATCTGAGTGATATTTTACAAAATGTCTGACCAGTACTCTTCAAAATTGTCAAGGTCATGAAAAATTAAGGAAACAGAGAAACTGTCACAGACCAGAGGAGCCTAAGGAGACATGCCAACTAAAGTAAGGTGGTATCTTGGTTGGGATCCTGGGACAGAAAAAGGCCATTGTGGAAAAACAGTTGAAATTCAAATAAGGTCTAGAGTTTAGTTAATAGTGTTGTACTAATGTTGGCCTCTTGGTTTTGATAAATGTACACTGGTAATGTAGGATGTTAACATTAAAGAAAACTGGGTGATGGGCACCTGGGTGGCTCAGTCCATTAAACATCCCACTCTTGGTTCTGGCTCAGGTCGTGATCTCAGGGTCCTGAGACCAGGCCCCGTGTCAGGCTCTGCCCTCAGCACAAGTCAGCTTGAGATTCTCTCCCTCTCCCTCCCCTTCTGCTCCACCCTCCCCCCACCTCCCATGTGTGCGTGTGTGTGTGCGCGCGCGCTCTCTCTCTCTCTCAAATAAATAAAATCTTTTTTAAATTTTTTAATTATGTGTTTAAAGAATTTATTTATTTGAGAGAGAGAGAATGAGAGAAGGAGAGAACATGGGAAGGGGGAGGGTAAGAGGGAGAAAGGAGCAGGGAGCCTGACGCGGGATGATGCGGAACCTGATCCTAGGACTCCAGGATCATGACCTGAGCCAAAGGCAGTCGCCAAATAAATGAGCCACCCAGGCCCCCCATAAGTAAAATCTTTAAAAAACTGAGTGAGGAGTGTATGTAAACTTTACCCTCTCTTCAACTTTTCTGTAAATCTAAAATTACTCCAAAAAAAGATTTTTTTTCTTAAGTAATTTCTTTTTTTAAGAAGCCCCAAGATGGGGCTTGAACTCATGACCCTGAGATCAGGTGTTGTCACATGCTCTACTGACTGAGCCAGCCAGGTGCCCCACAGAATAAAAGATTTTTAAATGCATCATTTTTAGTAATTGGAGACAGCTATTTTTTTTTTTTTAATCTAGACGTATCAGAAACTCTCAGCCCAACTCCATCCCAAGGCTAGCTAAAAGAGAAAATTCCAGTAACGAGTGCAAGGAGAAATTCTTAAAGAGAATGAGAGGCTCTCCAACAAAGATACAATCTGTGATCCTCATGGAAAAATCATTCCTAAGGCTGAGGAAGCTTTAAGATACCCTAGATGGGGATGCCTGTCTGTTTCAGTCAATGCAGTGTGCGACTCATTTTTTATTTTCTTTTCAGTGTTCCGTGTAGAGATAACTTAAAAATAAAACTCTTTGGGGCGCCTGGGTGGCTCAGTCAGTTGAGCATCTGACTCTTGGTTTCATCTGAGGTTGTGATCTCAGGATCATGGGATCCCTCCCCATGTCTGGCTCCACATTCAGCGCAGGGTCTGCTTGAGATTCTTTCTCTTTCTCTCCCCCTTTAAAAAAAAAATATGTATATCCTAGATAGGTTGGCATTATGGGAAAATGGTTTTCTTCTAGATCAGTGGTTTTCGAAGTGAGGTCCTTAGTTAGCAACACCAGCATCACCTGGGAAGGTGTTAGAAATGCAAATTTTTTGCACTGCCCCAGACCTACGGAGCAAAAACTCTAGGAGTGGGCCCTAGCAACCTGCATTGTTACAAATCAATTCTCTGGTAATTTGGATTCGGACAAACGGTGGATTCTTCGATGTAATTTTTTTAAAGATTTATTTATTTGAGAGAGTGAGAGAGAGTGTGAGTGCAGGGGAGAAGGGCAAAGGGAGAGAGAGAGAATCTCAAACAGACTCCATGCCAAGTGCAGAGCCCGATGCAGGGCTCAATCTCATGACCGTGAGATCATGACCTGAGCTGAAATCAACATTTGGACACTTGACCAGCTGAGCCACCCAGGTGTCCCTGGATTCTTTGACTTTAGGTCAGAGGTAGGCAAACTATGACCTATCAGTCAAATCTAGGTTTCTACCAGTTTTTGTACAACCTGTAAGCTAAGAACAATTTTTTTTTTTTAATGGCTGGGGAAAAACTCAAAAGAATAATCTTTCATGACATGTGAAAATTACATAAATTCAAAGGTCAGTGTCCATAAATAACATTTATGTAACACAACTACCCCTATTTATTTATGCATTATCTAGAGCTGCTTTGGTGTTACAAAGGAAAAGTTGAGTAGTTGCAACAGAGACCCAGCTGTGGGGCCCACAAGGCTAAAACACTTACTGTCTGGTCCTTTTTTTTTTTTTTTTTTAAAGATTTCATTTATTTATTTGACAGAGAGAGATCACAAGTAGGCAGAGAGGCAGGCAGAGAGAGAGAGGAGGAAGCAGGCTCCCTACTGAGCAGAGAGTCCGACATGGGACTCCATCCCAGGACCCCGAGATCATGACCTGAGCTGAAGCCAGAGGCTTAACACACTGAGCCACCCAGGCACCCCATGTGGTCCTTTACAGGAAAAGTTTGTCAACCCCTGATCTGGGATAATGAAAGAAATTTAAATACTCCTAGGATACAATGTCAGATAAAATACAATGTAGTATTAGGGAGTACTTGCACTAAAATGATATTCACGGTTTGTCTGAAATTCATGTTTAACCAGATGTCCTATATTTTTATTTGCTACATCTGGCAGTCCTATCCCAAGCAGAGCTCCATACTCCCCCAAATCA